TGGTTGAGTTATATTTACAACAGAAAAATTTTTTTTTTTGCCTTTTGATTGAAAATTAGATTTCCGTGTTTTTTTTTTTTTGTACTTTGAGCACTTGAAAAATAAAATGTCAATTTTTTTTTTCCAAAGACTTTCTGTGATACTTGACTGGCTGAGTTAAGTTTCTTCTTCGCTACTTCTGAAAACCAATAGAAAGTAGAAAAGTGGAGCCACTTTGAATCACTTCAACTACTTCTAAATTTTTTTTTTTTATGTCTTTACCGGGCATAAATTATGCCATGATATTGTCATACTTGTTAGTTGTGAATTCTTTCGAAAACAACTTTTTTTTTTTCAAACCAAACTAAAGATCACTTTTTTAAATTTTTTTTTTTTTGCTAAAATTATCCAAGTTGTGCTAAAAGCCCTTTTTTTTTTGAGTTTTATAATTAACAAATTCAAGTTCAAGTTGCGCACGGTTTTGAGTTGTATATCCTCTTATTGACGTCAAGTTTTTTTTTTTAAGAGGACATACAACAAAAAACCGTATGTAATTTTTTTTTTTTTTTTACCACATTTTTAGTCTGAAAATTTGCTTTTTTTTTTATCTTTCAACTTAGCGCGCACACGAGACGTGATTTTTTTTTTACACTGAGCATGTCCTCTTATTGACACACTCTTTTTTTTTTTTCAGCACGCGAGAATTTACACAAGTGTGGTAAAATCATGATTAGTAGTCATCATACGGCAAGCTTTAAGTATTTTTTTTTTTTTTAAGCAAATATGAATGAAATCTGTCAAAAAGATTTTTTTTTTTCTTGTTTTGTGCCAAGTGAGTTGGTTTGAGATTTTTTTTTTCTATATACAATGACCATTTTAGCAAAAATATTTTTTTTTTTTTATTAGAAAATATGATATAAGAATCAAATAGCTTTTTTTTTTAAAGATTAGACTTTGTATGAAAATATCTCTGCAAACTCCTGTAAATAGTTCTCCTGATTATCGGTTCATAGACATTTTTTTTTTAAGATGTAGAGATATAGAGGATATTACAAATGTTTTTTTTTTGTGTTCAATTGAAATCGAACGAGTGAGCGTAGTTTTTTTTTTAGATTTCAAGACTTTTTGAAGAAATGCAATGGTATTAAAGACGACCCGAAAAACCCACCATCGAATTTAAGAAATAAAATATATATGAATTTAAGAAATTTTTTTTTTATGTGACCTTTCTGTGTATTCTTCGAGAGAAATTTTTTTTTTACTTAAAAGTGTGTATTTTCGCCTTTGAAGAGTTTTTTTTTTGCATCAAAATAGACTGGCGATCCACGTTTTGATTTTTTTTTTAGTGGGCGTCGTGAATAACTTATTTAGTTAATTTTTTTTTTTCCATCGAATTTAAGAAATAAAATATATATGTGTTTTTTTTTTGTATTCTTCGTGAGAAAATTTGAAAGTCCAAGTTTTTTTTTTCGCCTTTGAAGAGTTTGAGTTGAGCATCAAAATTTTTTTTTTATCACAGGTAGCTCCAAGTATGTATTTTCGCCTTTGAAGAGTTTGAGTTGAGCATCAAAATAGCCAGGCGATCACAGGTAGCCCAAGCTAGGCATTTGTGTACTTTTTAGAAATATTTCAAATATATCAAAAATAAACATCTGTTTTTTTTTTTTAGTTTTCTTTACATTTTTGTGTTAAAGTTTCTTTTTTTTTTCTTCAATTTTGAGCGATTTATGCCCGTTGTTCTTTTTTTTTTCACGGTTCGCTTAAAAAAAACTGTAAAAGCTATTTTTTTTTTGTGTTTCGGAGAGCTTTTTGCTTTACTAATGATTTTTTTTTTTATATATTCTTTAAAAAATGCCGTATTTGTGCTTTTTTAGCCTCTTCATTTATAACATGTCAAAAGATTTAATCTTTTTTTTTTTCAGCAAATGTCACCCGATGTATGGCAATAAGTTTTTTTTTTCTTTATTTTTCAATAATTATTTAAGAATTCAATTTTTTTTTTAGAACAAGTACCGTATTTACTCATGTATAAGCTTTTTTTTTTTTCCAAAAWAGCCCCCAGCATTCATTGTGCTATTTTTTTTTTAGTAGGCGACGTCTAGGACATTCAGTAGTGTGTTTTTTTTTTATAATATTTCAATACAACCTTCTCAGTATTACTTTTTTTTTTCCGAAAATCTAACTCTGAGAAACACAAGTCAATTTTTTTTTTTGAAAAGTGCGTGGTTATTGATCAAATTTTGTTTTTTTTTTTTTTTGGTAATGTGATGCTAATTTGCATTGTTTTTTTTTTTTTCTTTTTTTTCTTCTTTTTCCTTTTTTTTTCTCTTTTTTTTTTTTCAGGGTAAATATTTTGAATACCCACGAAATTTTTTTTTTTAATTGTTTCCTCTATTATACAAATACCATCTGTTTTTTTTTTTTTTTTTTGAAATATGAAACGTTTTTCATGGCTTTTTTTTTTTAGACGGAACTTCACGAGCCAATTACTAGAGCTTTTTTTTTTAGAGTGTTTTCGATCCTTTTGTTTGGACGTTTTTTTTTTTTTTGAGAAACTCCAAGAGTATCATATACCGCAAGTTTTTTTTTTATCGCATACGCAATGGATCACGCAAATCGAGCTTTTTTTTTTGCGGGAAAGCACTTCAAAATTGACAAAAGCTGTGTTCGCAAGTGGCGATCCCCCGCGGTAGCGATCAAAAAGTGTTTTTTTTTTCCTTTTTTTYCCCTCAAAAACGTTCCCAAAACTTTTTTTTTTGTCATTATTAAACAGACCTTTTTAATAATCTCTTTTTT